TCGATAGATCCAGTTAAGTGTTGGGTGTCTATAATTATGCAACGGCTCTGCCTCACCTTTTGTAACGTCTCATTTAGCACACGGACAACCCTTGGCCGGATCGAAGCAGATAGATACACGAGGCAAGACGCGGCTAGGCAAAGCGAGGGTTGTTTCCTAGCCCTATTGTTCAGCTGGCAGGCTTCACTGTACGCACATGTAACAGCTGAGCGGCTACCTCTAACTACTGGGCTACGGTCCTTTCGGACGTGGTCCATTGCTGATTGGCTGGATTGTTCATGTGGCTGGCATTTCGATTGATATCAATTCAATGCCTCTGCCTCTACCTGAACGCCCTATGCAATTTTTGAGTGCATTGAACTCTGGTCTAACGAGATGAAATGAGGGGGAGACATGCTCGGCGTCTGTCTGGGAGAGAGAGAGAGAGAGAGAGAGAGAGATTGAGGAAATGAGAGCGAGAGTGAGAGGGGGAGAGAGAGAGAGTAGCTAGGCAACATTCATAGCGAAATTCGCGAAAAATGGGGCGCAAACTAATTTGCCATCAAAGGCAACTGCGAACAATTGCCAGAGGCGTCAGGCCTTAGCATGGCATGGGGGAGGGCTTGTTTGTTTAGCCAGTCGAATTCTTTAAATAACAACGAATGCTTGGCTATGTACGTAGTATTACGCTGCTGATTACAAGCTAGAAATATGATAGAAAATATTAGTTATTCCATTTTCTATAACTAAATCTCAGCTGCTCTTGAAGTTATCGATAACATTTAAATGTACAAATATTGCATAATATTTGCCATATTAAAGCAAGCTGCATTTGATCTTGATCGTGAACTACATAATTCTCAAATTTGCCCTGACTTCAGTTTGGCCTTGGCTTCACAGCAGATTCAGCTCAACTCAACCCCTGCTCAAGTACGTCTCTGTTCTCAGCTAACATTTCATTACAATATATTGGCAAACCCTAGTGCAAAATGTCAATAAGTCGATGTTCAACTAGAGATTTGACAGCTGTCATCCACGCTAGCTAGCTATCGAACTGGAGGTGGTGCTGGTGGTTCAACGTACGGTGGTGAAAAGAAAAAAAAAGTGTTACATTTTCCTATTTTGTCTACTTTCAAATGCAAATTGATTTGTTCTGGTCGACGTTCTCCAACGGCAACAAAAAACGAGTTACGCTGACAAACGGGTTTTGCAACACTGTTTTCCACTTACGATCCTTTCTTGATACCTTGCAGTTGCTGGCTGTGCTGAAATGTGGTAGATAGGTGTGAGAGACGATCGTTGGCCTGATCTTCTAAATATCGTTCGTTAGGAAGTCGATAGATGTATCGATGTTTACTTGCCTCTGTTTGTCTGTCCGTCCGATCTTGACAGCTATTAGACCACAGAGTATATAGATTGTTCCATTGCCTTTTTCATTTATAGAACAAGTTTATTTCTTTATAATCGATAGCTCAAATCGATTCATTTTGATATCCCCTCTTGGAAAACTCAATCTTCATAAACTGTGAGTAAGGGTATTTCCTAGTCTGGCATATCCGAACCACAGCATGCCTACTTGTACGCTTTTGTTTTTGTCGCTGTCAAAACTTGAAAAACATTTTGGCATTTGACACACACACGCACACACACACACGCACATTCATGTGTGAAAGTCGGAGAAATGTTTGGAAAATGAAGACATATGGTCATATTTGTCGGGAACACAGCAAAACAAAGCAGAAAAAAAAGAAAGGAAAAAGCTGAAGGGGTTGCTGCCTGCCTCAAGGCAAGTTCCTGAACCTGTTTTGCCCATTGTTTTTCCCTGCTTCCAAAACATTTGACCATTTCCATAGGATTTCGGTCGTGTAATATGGGAAATTCGAGCATGTAAATAGTAGCTTAGACAGCATTTGCATTAGGGGTATTCCAGTGCAGCTAAGAATCTTATAAAACCTATCAGATAAATGTAAAGTTTTCCTATATAAGGCCAAAATTCGATAAATCACATATTAAGGAAAACTATTTGCTTGGATCAAAGACTCGACTTACTTTAGATAGAATCACAGACAAAACAACAACAGCTTCTATTAGAATGGAGCTCTGTGAATGCTTTTCACAGCTATGAAGTGCCCTTGATTGTGTCAACAAATGCTTGAGGCCCTATACTCAGGCCCGACTTGTTAAGGATACGCAAGTATTTCAATATCTTTTATCTTTGGAGTTCACACTTTATGAATGCTTATTTCGCACACGAGCTTTCAATGGCAAGCCCAGGCCAACTCCACCCAACCACTTGACACTCCCATGCTCAAAGCCCCCGTCGGAACCACCCCAAAAACAACAACAACAGCAACAAAAACAGAAGAAAAAAAAAATATCACAAAAATTAAACGAATTGGGTCAAAAGATAAGCGGAATTATCTTGAAGAGCCTATGCGAAAAATGAGAAACACTTTCGAAATGCAAGGAAGGGGGGCGGGGGGGTGCTGGGCAGTGGACATGGGCGTGGGAGTGTGGCAGTGACAAAGACAGAGACAGAGCAAGAAATGCTAAAAAAGAATCAAATGCAAACGGTTGCCACTCCAGATGTTGAGCAACCACCCAAACCACCCGACGTAGCCGAAACCACCAACTGATGTTTAGCTTGACTGCGTTCAGTTGACAGTTCCCCTTGTGTGTGCTGCCGCTGCTTCTTGCTGCTCTTTGCTCTCTTCTTCTTCTTCCAATGCTTCTTCTTCTACTGCTTCTACTTGTACATCTAGTACTCCCCCTCAGGCTACTTTCTGCTCCAGCAAAATTTTTTTGCTGCTCATCTTCTCTGTTGTCAACCCAAAACGTTGAAATTTCATTATTTATCATAAGGAAGCTGTGTGTGTCTGTGTGTGCATGTGTGTGTATGTGTGTGTGGCTCTCAGATTAATAGACTGCTGCTGCAAGGTGCCTGCTCTCAGTTTTCTCTCAGCATAAAGCACAGACAACCGGCTGCCGGCATAATAGACGCGTGCGCTCTCGCTCTCATTGCTGTGCTCTCCCTCTCTCTCTCTCTCTCTCTCTCTCTCTTTCTGTCTCTATCTATCACTCTCGCCTGCACAGTCTCTATACTGCTTGCTCCACGTATCCTTATTGCGTGTTATGCCCGCGCTTGGGAGGGGTTGTGTTTTGCGGCAATGCCTAAATTCTCTCATTTCTCTTTGTCCAAAAGCTTTTATCCAGAAATCATTTGGGTTTTTCATATAAATATATATATATATATACATATATACATATATATCTATATACATATTTATATAAATATATCTATTTATATATACTTATATATAAACTTGTCTGCGGAATTTCGTACTTAGCTTGAGTGCTAGCAATTATCCTTCAGTTTATTCCATGAAATTTTATTAAAAAATTTCAGTTTACTCTGCTCTCAGACTCTATTCAGATCTTAAAATTATGGATTATTCAACTTATGAAGTCCAGTTTGTTAATTATCATACTCTTGTTACTATACCCATAATCTATGTCCCTAAGCATTTATATATGATGCATGATATAGGGATGTATATGTAAAGATCTTATTGATAGTTATAAAATACAATTATAATGATATTAAATTTTTGTCCTTTTAATACACAAGTAAATATGTTTTTAAGCCATTCTAAGCAAGCTAATAGAGAAATGACGAAGGAAATATGGAAAATTTGAAGAGGTATAATTTTAATATTTCATAGACAGTCGAGTCTCGATAATTCGTACGCCGCTAAATCGCGATAAATAAAAAAAAATTCGATCCCCTTAAAAGAAATTCGTTTTTAATAATTCTCGATAATTTGAATTTTAGTGTAAATCGACATCAATCTGATCCCCGTGCCTTTTCGAATTATCGGGATTCTACTGTATATAGTATCGAAGTTATTATTATTACTAGATAATGAATCAAATGAAATACCATGAATTTTCTTTTTCAACTTAAGATCCTAGCAGTTCTTCTCAAATATCTTCTATTCAGCTATACATATATCAACAGCATACGATCTCTTAGGAATAAAAATGTATATGAGTAGATCAATTAAGTTGATAATATGCTAAATGCTGTTTACACATTCAGGTGGAGTGTGGCATTTAGAGAGTTTCTTCTACATGATGAACGCCAGATGGTACTTAATCTGCTTTGCATATCAAAGCACACACACATACACACACATAGGTGGATGTCACATTGCATATACATGTAAATATGCAAATACACATATACATGCATACACACACATAGATGTAAAGTATGTACATATGTATACACTTGCATAGCCTGCATATGACACAGTCGCCACCCCGTCCCACAACCACCCACTCTGACAAGCTCGCTCTCACCTCTCGCTCTCCCTCTCTCCCACTCGCTTCCTTCCTCTGTATCCCTGGAGAGCAGAAAAAGTCCGATACTCGTGTGTGAGCGTGCGAGCGAGGCCGCATGCCTTTCGCTATAGCCTGCTCGCTCGCGCAAAAGGGTGTGTGCCAGCCGGCCGGCGATTCATTGCGCGCCGGTGCAAGCGAGACGGCGCATGCAAAAGCAGCGCGACGGGTGGTTGCTCGCTCGCACTCGCACTCGTTTTGGCCTCTGGTCTCTGGCTCTCTCGCCGTGAGCGTGGTGTGGGGCGTCGTTAAAGGATACACTGGATACGGAGTCGCGACCGGCGGCGCCTGCTTTCTGTTCAGTCGTACGTGTTCGTTCGTTGCTTTCGTTCGGTTTTGATTCCATTCGGTTGTGTTTCTCATTCGAGAACATTCATTTATAATTTTTTGACTCCTCTGCACCAGTTTTTGTGTTGTATTCAGTTACAAATTTGTTGTGTTCTACGTTTTTTCCAACTAATAAAAAAAAAAAAAAAACAACAACAACAACAAACAGAAACACAACTGCAACTGCAACAACAACCACAGCAACAACAACAACAACTGTAACTGCAACGGCAATAACTCTGTGCAAGACTCTCTTCTGTGCAATATACCAGATGATATATATTTAGGTATATATATATATATATATATATATATCAATTTATATATATATACTAACTATCGCTACTATCGTTTCGTTACGTTTCGCTTTAAACACTCGTGTCGGGCAAACATAAATTGCAATACGTTCAACTCGATTGACGAAAGCCGAGCTAACTGTAAAGCAACAACAACAGCAGCAGCGGCAACAACAACAACAACAACAACGCATCGATTGTGTTCCTAGTCAAATTTGTTCCATTTTTTTTCGCTTTTTGTTACACTGTGCAAAAGCCAAGCCAAGCTAAGCAAAGCAAACGCAGCAACAATACCAATAACAACAACAACAACTACAGCTAAAACTCAAGCAACAACAACAGCAGCGTGCGACAGAGCGAGATAGCTGTTGCCAACGCAGCATTTGAGTGAGCGAGCGCGAGCAAGCATTTTGCAATCAATAGAGCCAAAAAAAAGAAGAAATTTTTTTTTCTTGCTGCTTCTTCGTTCATATATATATATCGAAGTATATATATATATGTTTTTGCTATCTATATATTTTTTTTTGCGACGTGTCTGTGTTGACTTTATCGTATTGCACAAATCTGTAAGTATATAACAGTTATAACAGTGCTTAATGTCTACTGTTTTTTTTTCTGTGCTTTTTTTTCATGTGCTTCGTCTACATTTTTTTGTCATGTGTAAATAAAAAATTGTATATCACTGCCATGTTGATATCATCATATGCGATCATATAATATGTGTTTATCACAATACTACTGCTGTTGACAGTGTTGGAAATGCATGGAATGATACGATCATCGTCAATGTGTGGACAAAAATTATAATCAGATTGTGAAAGGAAGAGTGCTAGAAATGGGGAGCGAGAGGGAGGGAGAGAGAGAGAGAGAGAGAGAGAGAGAGAGAGAGAGAGAGAGAGAGAGAGAGAGAGAGAGATAGAGAGAGAAGTGAGCAGACAGAGAGAGAGAGAGAGGGTGAGAGAGAGAGAGAGAGAGAATGAAAGATATAGCTAAGTGAAAAGAGACTGAGCATGAAGTTTGTCTCTTTTCCGGTCTTTGATTCTTCCTTATACTGTTGTCGTCCCTCTCTCTCTATCTCTTCTCAAATTAATCTCAACTTTTATCTTTACTTCTAATCCTACTTTTATTCTTCCCTTTCTGTTCAATTATTGCTGCGATTCTTGTTCCGAAGAATTGTCATTTTTAATCTGAGGACCGTCTATTACTCTCTCTTTTTCTCACTCCCTCTTTCTCTTTCTCTCTCTCCCTCTCTATTACTTTGTCGTCATGTTTGCTTAGCGGAGAGAAATGACGCTCCTTACTATTGTAAGGAATACAGAAAATTCTCTCTGTCTCTGACTGTGGCTTTCTTCCATTTTCTCTCTCTCTCTCTCTTTTAAATTGTTCACTATTTCCTACTCTTTCCCAGTTCCTTTCCTCTACTGCTCAACTTCTCTGTCCTTTCTATTTATATCTTTTTTCGTCTCTCACTTGCTCCTCTTGTATAATATTTTCTCTGTGTCTTTCTGTCTCTGTCTATCCCACACATTTTTATTTTACCCTTTCTCTCTCTCTTTTTACTCTACTCTGTTCTTGGTCTCAGAGGAGGACTCTGTCTCTTTCTTACGCTCTTACTTTTTCTCTCTCTCTTCCCTATCTCTCGCTTTCTCTTTCCCAATCTCTCCACTCTCTTTCTCTCTCTTATTCCCTCGCCCTTTGGCACTCTCTCTCTCTCTGTTACCCCTATCCCCATTTCTATTTCGATCCCTCACTCTTTTTGCTCTCTCTCCCTCTTTCTCTCTCTTTCTCTCTCCCTCTCTCTCACCGTCCGTACAGCTTCCTTCGTCAATATTTCAATCTTTATCCGTTTCTCCAACTCTTCTCCTCGTTTGTCCAGCTGTCTTTACCATGTCTTCCCTCATGCTCTCTCATGCCTCTCCATCTATCTCCATTCCTTTCTCCCCCTAATGCCATCTCTTGCCTGCTTGGCACCCTTGGCCTCGCGAAGACATGCCCTGACCCACCTCAAGGTGCTGAACGACACACATTTTAAATGAGGTCACAGATATCGGCGCAAAAGTGTCAATTACACATTTTTTTTCCTTCTTCCTTCTTTCTTTTCATATTCACAGCTCATTCACACACACACACACGCATACATACAGAGCGAGACACGTACGCAGTGTCGTTGTCTTTGGCAGGGTCGCTGGCCGTTGGGGGTTGCCAGCTGAAGGAGTTGGCGACTGGGCTTGGTGGCTGCTGAGATGCAGCTCGCTTTATGCAGCCATATTGCAGCGCACAGTTAAGCTATGTGTGCGTGTGTGTGTGTGTGTGTGTGCTTCCTCTTTGCTGCGTCCCTGTGACCACTTTGTGGATTTTCTTTGTTTTGAGCTTGTCTCCTGTTTTCGTGGCTTTGACTTTGATTTGGTTTTTTTGCTCTTGCTTCATTGTGCCTGCACTTCAAGTGTGTGCAAGTGTGTGTGCGTGTGAGTGTGGGTGTATGCGTGTGTGTATTTTTGTCTGTCTTTTGCGTTAGCCTTATCAAGTTTCTTGTTGTTGTTGTTATTGCTGTTGTCCTGTCGGCCTATTCAGGCCCTTGGCGTTGAGTTCATTGAACGCAACAGCTGTTTCTAGCGCGTGCCACATGCCACATGCAACAGCGGATAGCAACCACAAAACAGCAATTCAACGATCTGCTGCCTTCCAGAGCGAAACTAGACAAGCCCAACAACAACTACAACAACATGATTATGAGAAACAGCCCAAAAACACTGGCCGCAACGCGACGAGTTCATTGACCCAGCCACAGCCAGGCGAAAATCCGCTACGAGCTCTAAGCCGCACACAGCCTGTGTCCCATGTCCTCTGTCCTGCGTCCTGTGTCCTATGGCCTGTGTATCCTGTGTCCTGCGTCCTGTCGCCCTGTCGTCCGGGGTACGCGACGTGCCGCTTCGTTTGTTTGTTTGTTTTTCGCGTCAGGTTTTTACCCTATTTTCAATGCGGTCCCTTTCTATGCACATTTCTAAGCCTCACACGCAACCCAACAAGGATCTACACAGAAAAGGGAGTCCTTTTTCCTGCCACTGCCCTAGCGCGCGCTCTCTCTCTCTCTCTCTCTATCTAATGCGCCTGCTCTCTCTGTCTCTCTCTTTCTCGCTCTCCCTCTTGCTCTCTTTGCTTCGCTCTGTGCCTGTGTCTAGGTTTCCACCCCTCAATGTGCTTCCAATTGGACCAGCAACGCGAGGCGCACCATTCCAATTGGACTCGAATGCAGACCTTTTAGAGTAATACTTTGTCAGTTTCCATGAGGGCAAAGTTGATTTGATTTATGATTTCGTTTGCAAAATGTTTCCTATACAACCTATTTTACCACAAAGCTTCACGACTGTTCCGACTCCTGATATCCTCAATGTGTCTGGACTCCAAGCTGAGTTTGTCAAAACTTGAAATTTCCCATTTCAATTTATCATTGTTTTCGGCTTTTCCTTACCAATTTTGCTTCAGCTTGATACTAGATCTATATTTTAAACATATTATTTTTTAATAATGATATTGGAAGCATATTCTAAGCATTCCAAGTTTTTCGAGTTTTTGACTGAACTCCGCATGGGTTTCTAATCAGGAATGCTTGAAGCTGCCTTTTGGTTCTTCAAGTTCGTTCATTGTGGAGGAACACAAAAGCTGGCGCTAAAGTGCACGTGTGCTCGATGGCTGGAGTGCTTGCATGCTGTGGTGCGAGTCACCATAAGCCGCAGGGACACTCATACACACAGAGAGTGAGTGAGACAGAGAGAGAGAAAAACAATTTAATTAAATTCCAAGCCATTAGGCAAAGTTTTTTTTTGCTGACAAAAAACAAATGTGGAAAAAATAAGAGCAATAAGCAGAAACTTGATAAAGAGATTTAAGGCTTTTGGCAATTGACAAAGGCTAGGGCAAAGGGTTGCTATAGGCTCTACATATCCGAAAAAAAAAAATTTGAAAATACAAACTCAATGAGCATTAGCTAAATGCTTTTGCTTTGTGCTTTTGGGGGGTGACTTCAGTGGGCCGTGCAACGTGCTTAGCCAAGGGCGTTTTGTGCTGAACTTATCCTTTTCATTATTGCATTTCTCTAATTCACGATTCCTTTCGTTTGCAGATTGAGTACGAAACGAGCGAGCAATCGAACAGCTAATTATCATTTATCAGACACGTTCTGGGAACAGGAGAAGGAAGCGATTCGATAGGAAAGATTTTTTAAACTGCAACCGAAGCAAAGCGCAAAAACCAAACACCACCAAACAAAACCAACAAAACAAACTATTAACATAATAATAATAATAAAAAAACCAAGAAGAAAAATAAGAAGAAGAATATAACGAATAATCATATTTAATCGTATATACAACATTATTATAAATACATATACCATATTATATATGTATAAACACAACTAAGTTCCATACAAAAAACAAAAATACCAAAAGGAAGAAGCGCAAATTAGTAAAAGTAAATTTAATAATAAAAAAATAAATAAATAATTATTGCTATCTTTTTGCATTTTTGCAATTTTATATAAAAAATACAAATACTCAAGAGGCAAAGGAAAAAAATAAAAAAAAAAAACATTAGCAAAATTTACTCTTTTATCTAAAAATAAACTAAAAAAAACACAAAAAATTACTTCAAACTTAAATTAAATTTTAAACTTTAAGCAAAGCCAAAGAACGGTTTAAGATAAAAACAAAAAACAACTTAAGATAAAATACTATTTTTTTTTGCGATCGTAGTTGATCTAAAAACCCACAACAGAAGAGGAAAAGGAGAAGGATACGGATAGACACTTTAGAAAGAGTCAAAGAAAAGAACTGTGCGATCAGACAAACAACTTCACGGGACTTGTGCAAAGCGCAGTCAGAGCTGTCTCTTTATAAATAAAATTCTAAAAAAAAAAAATACTAAAAGAAGGAAAGAACAAAAATACCAAGAAATAAGTACATATATTCTATAAGTGTAACCAAACAAGCAGTGAGATTAAATTCTAAGCACAAACCAAACGAATACCGAGTGCAGCCACAAAGGAAACTTTAACAGTCACTGTTAACACTAACAGCAACAGTTAACAGAGCCGAATAACTGCTAACAGCAATACCGACTGTTAACAGAGAACCGAACCACTAACTGTAGAGACAACTGTTAACAGTTAACAGACAGCAACTGTTAACGGTTAACAGTACCAGCAGTAGAGACAGCATCATTAGCACCAACATCAACATTAACACTAACGGCAACAGCAACAGCAACAGTAACGAAAACATGACCAACGCCATGGATATTGTTAAAAACGGCAGCACCAACGGCTCCGTCGACGGCAGCAATGATGAGTCGCGTACCAATTTGATTGTCAACTATCTGCCACAAACCATGACGCAAGAGGAGATGCGTTCGCTCTTCTCAAGCATTGGTGAGTTGGAGAGTTGCAAACTGGTGCGTGATAAAGTCTCAGGTAATTTGGGTAAATATTAACCAAGTTTTTTAACAATTCTACTGCACTAGCTTTAAGTCGTTCAGTTTGTTTCATTTCATTTCTGTACTTAGGTTAATGCTTCCAGCATCTAGATCTCATATTTGTTATTGTTTCTCTCTCTCAGCTGCCGTTAAGCTATTGGTATGGCTGTCTTAACAGCTGTTACGGCTAATGTTAGGCAACTGCTCAGGTTTTCTTACTTTGTAGTCTTTATAAGTTGAGTTGTTCGCCTGCACAGAGAAACCTCTTTGATTCGAACTATATAACATTGCAAAAACATTTTCGATTCATGTCATTTACAGTCTTGCCAGCATCATTGACCGCACTCAATCCGGCTCTGCAGCAAGGTAAGCACACCCATTTGACCTCTTTATATATCATATATCTATACATATTTCTCTCTCTGTCTCTCTCTCTCTCTTATTAGGCCAGAGTTTGGGCTATGGATTTGTTAACTATGTGCGTGCCGAAGATGCTGAGAAGGCAGTGAACACCCTGAATGGGCTGCGATTGCAGAATAAGGTTATTAAAGTATCATACGCCCGTCCAAGTTCAGAATCAATAAAGGGTGCTAATTTATATGTATCGGGTCTTCCCAAAAATCTATCACAACCAGACTTGGAGGGGATGTTTGCGTCGTTTGGCAAAATAATTACATCTCGTATACTCTGTGATAATATTTCTGGTAATTTGGCAATATTTATACGAACGAATCGATCGATAGACGATCAAAGCGATAGACGATCAACTAATTGATGTTCGTCCAACTCTAGGTCTATCGAAGGGTGTCGGCTTTATACGCTTCGATCAACGCAACGAAGCCGAACGCGCCATACAGGAGCTTAACGGTAAAACCCCGAAGGGCTATGCCGAACCGATTACCGTTAAGTTCGCCAACAATCCAAGCAATAGCGCCAAGGCCCAAATAGCCCCGCCCCTAACCGCCTACTTGACACCGCAAGCGGCAGCGGCAACCCGTCGCCTAGCCGGTGCCCTACCATCAGCCGGACGTATCAGGTGCGTAGCATCCATTCAGAATTTAACTGAGACTGTCAAGTCGGGGCATATACCATGTATACATATATATATACATTATCATATATATACATACTTATATATGTATATATACCTATAGAGATATATATCTCTAGATAGCTAGACAGTTAGCTAGTCCGAGTTATCCGCATCTCACAGCTCAAACTAAAGCGAAAATCAATTTCTAGGTTTATATTATCTTTATATATATATACTTATTTGATTTTTGATTGATTGAGCAATATTTGTGCAATGGTTATATACATATATATACATATATAGTTCTTATTATTCTATTATTATTCGATCTATTTTCTTTTCTTATTATTATGGATTGAACATAACTTTTACATAATGTTTCTGTTTCGAATTTTTATACCTACCTCTTATGTCGCATATTTCGGTTTTCTTTTTTCTTTAATAAAAAAAAATACGAAAAAAAAATTCTCATCATTTTTAGCATTGGAAAAAGTCCCATGTTAGCGATTAACAAGGGTTTGCAAAGGTGAATTTTTTCGACTTATTCATTTTTCACACGCACACACAAACACAGAGAGACACCCACATACACACAATTACATATATATTGATTTTATGCTCGTTCAATAAGTGCCTAAGTTCTTTTTTGCTGTAATTGAAGTCTGTTGAAGTCTCTTGCTCTAACAAAACTCTATTCTCACGTCTCAACTCTCCAAACGAGATTAAATACTAAGCCAATTCCAACAAATATCGAGTGCAGGCAAAAAAGAAAGCTTAACAGTCGCTGTTAACACTCCCAGCAACAGTTAACAGAGCCGAGTAACTTTTAGCAGCGAGACCAATTGTTAAGAGATAGCAGAGAACTGTAGAAGTATGACAATTGAGTATAATAGAATTATTAGAATTGGTATAGATGCATCAACTTCTGTATATCGACAGATCATAAACTGTATATCAAAATCATCATAGTCAATCATATAATATATGATGATACAATATATCATCATACTAAAAATCTTCCATACTTTTAAAGCTAGAATGAACATTCATTTTAAGATTTTATTAGGGCATGCATTTCGAACGAGTATTGTGCAGTCGGATGCACCCGACTGCCAAGTTTTTACTTATTTGATTTACCATACATGCAAAAATTAAAAAAAAAAAAAAAAAAAAAAAAGAAAAGACATCACACAAAAAAACTCAAACAATTCCTATACTAAATGTTTAGCTTTAATGTTTGTGTGTAAATGTTCAACAAAATACCCCAAAAATACAAACAACAACCTTAGATATAAATATTTATCTATATTTCTGTTCTATCTTCTTTAAACCAGATTTGCATTTAAATGGAAGCTTTTTGTGTTCTTTGAAAGTTCGATTCGAGTTTCTGTTCGAGCGCATGCGTCCAGTTTTTTAATTTCTATTTGATTCCTTAAACAATATGTTAATATATATACATATATGATTTGAACACTCTGTAACATATTCGTTTACTCCAACCTTTAAATCGACAGTCTGCTATTATTTCACATATATATCAATTTATATGTGTATTTTTTTTACGTTGAATTCAATTCGCGACAATTACATTGTTGTGCTTTAAACTGAAAAATCAATTGGGCTAGAGCATTGCGAGCGAATATGCTATAAAAATGAATAACTTTGCAGCACAGTGTAATGGTGGCTAGCATATCTAATAATAATAATAATAATAATACCTCTATGAAAGCATGAAAACATGAAATTATTACCAAAACATAAAGCTGATCGATCCACAAATGTTCGGCTAGCCGATTTTGGAATACTCTTGCCGGTCAGATTGTCGATCACTAAATGATTGAAGCAAATAGATTGAGTGGATAAAACATGTCTCATTACTTTCTATTAGGTAAAGTTCTGGCCAGAGAGTTAGGCTTAGGTTTCACTGTAGAGTAAGAGAGAGGGATTACTTTTGTTCCTAACAGTTTTTCCTTCAATCAATCAGTTAGTCAATTATTCCATAAGCTGGTCAATCAATCATGCAGTTAGTCTATGAGTCTCTTAATCAATGCGTTAATCATTCTGTTACTCAAGTAGTCAGTCCACTGATCAATCAGTCCATCAATTCATTCAATTAGTCTATAAGTCCCTCAATTAACCACATAAACAGTCTACTTAGACAATTTATCAAACAATCAATCTGTGTAATATCTTTAATGCAGGAAGTCTTCCAATACAATTGGTATATGCATAGTTATTATTATAGATTCAATCCGCGGCAAGAGTATTAAGAAAAATACAACCAAAATTCAACAAAAATTGGAAATCTATAAAATATACCCAGCATAGTGTTGAATATAGTTTTCCTAAGTGTTATGCTCGAGGAGGGGCCGACACCATTCGTTACGACATATACTATGTGTACCATAAACAATAAACTGAACAATCAAGTACCCATTACTTGTCTCGAATACCTTAAAAGACCCACTAAATGCACGAGTGTAACTAATTGATATATTTTCTTTCTCTCTCCCTCTCTCTCTCTCTCTCACGCCCTCGCTCTTGACATCTATGGATAGATACTCGCCGCTGGCTGGGGATCTATTGGCCAATTCAATATTGCCGGGCAATGCAATGACCGGATCTGGTTGGTGTATATTCGTCTATAATCTGGCACCCGAAACCGAGGAGAACGTCCTGTGGCAGCTGTTTGGACCCTTCGGTGCCGTGCAGTCGGTGAAGGTCATACGCGACTTGCAGACTAGCAAGTGCAAGGGATTCGGCTTCGTTACCATGACCAACTACGATGAGGCTGTGGTGGCCATACAATCGCTAAACGGCTATACACTGGGCAATCGGGTGCTACAGGTTAGCTTTAAGACTAACAAAACCAAAACCACTTAAGGTCAACATCTAAGCGAGATCAACAAACTGAATGTAACTTTTCTTTATCATTTAACTATGATTTGAACTTCTCTCATTCCCTCTATGAAGAATCTTTTTGGATGTTTGAGCATCTGAAATAGTATTGTAAAATGTTTGGCAGTTATGTAACTATGGCGAGTTGTAGTCATAATTGAAATACACACACACACAAGCACACGAAAACACACACATATATACACACACACACACACACACACACACACACACACACATTGACTATATTATATATATTTTGTATGCTAAACGAAATTATTATGATTGATTGATTGATTGATTAATGAAGATACCTAATGAAATCTTAGCGAAAATTTAGAAATTTCTTTTGTTTTCTTTCGCACTACATAAATCAATTTTGTCATTTGATATGGAAAATACTAAAAATACCAACATGAAAAATACCAAAAAGGCAAAAAACAAAAACAAAGCTTAAAAGAGGCAAACACGACAAAGAACCCGAATAGACAAAAAGTGTCTAAGTGAAATACATAAAAAATAAATACAGACGATAAATTACTAAACTTAATTTAACTTTTTCCTGATTAAGTTTTCATTTTATTATTATTAAATTAAATTGAATTGAAAAAAAAGATATATATTAAAGTAAATATTGAAAACAAATACTAAACTTAATTGAATTCAACTTTTTTTTTATAATTATATCTTAAACTAAATTGAATATTAAAATTACGTAACTAAATTATTTAATGTTTATTAAAATACCAAAAAAAAAAAAAAACGAAAAAAAATAAATAAAATATAGAAAGAAAACAAAATAAACAAAAAATAATTAATGCAAAAATACTTTAATTAAAAACGAAATATACTAATTTGTAAAAGAACTTATTCAGAATACAAGCAAAAAAACAAAATATACTAGTCATATATGGTATATACCAAATATGTGCTGCTTTTAATTGCTATATATATATTGTATTTGTATATTGTGTTCGTTATGTAACAACTTAATTAACTCAATTAACTTAATTAAACTTAATTAAACAATTAATTAATTAATTATAATATTTATAACATATGCTTCTATTCCAAACAAATTTGTTTCAATTCGATTTTGCATTGATTTGGAACAACAAACATATATAAATCAGCCTATCAACCCGATTCGCAGTATCAATCATTAAATGCATCAAACTTACATCATACATCATACATACATCATACATATTTTCATAACTCATTCATCATTCATACATATAACTTATAACCATTATTATTATATATATGTAATCGTTTTAATCTGATTTTTTCGTCGTCGTCTAACTTAAAATGATAAAAAAAAAAGAAAAAACCAAAAAAATACAAATTACCAAAGTATATTCAATATTGTATGTGCAAAATGAAATGAAAGAAAACATTATTATATATTATATTACATTATATTATTATGCCTACTTATTATTCCATTTTTATATAATTATATCTTATGAATAAAACACAAAAACAAACGCAAAAAAAAAAACATCAACCAAACTGAACGAAGAAAAAAGAAACTTAGAAAGAACAACACAAAATAAAAACAAATGAAAGAATTTGTGTGAACTACTCAGAAACTATGCGAAAAGAGAAAAACAAAAGCAAAACAAAACAAAATATACCAAATTTGTTTTCTTTTTTTTGTACTACACACAGACACACACACATGTACACACAATCAGTACAACAGCTTAAAGTCTAATGCTGAAATTTGGCAACGCTGTTAAGTTCCATGTACATGCTGAGCTTGTCCGTTTAATCAGAGCGTGAATAATGAAATTTGGCAACGTCGATCAATTGGCTAACGGCACTGTCAGCCTCGAAAGGGAAATTTGACAACGCTGCATTGAGAATTGTCAACTGAAGTTTGGCAACGTTGCCTAAATTTGTTTGGCAGTTCAAGTCTGGCCACACCGACGACTTAAGCACATGTTGCTGCTGAAAATTGGAAACGCTGCATAGCAAAGTATTAAATGAGATTTGTCAACGTCGCAGGCAATGCAACCATTAGTTGAGGGGGTTAGCTGAATCTCAATGGAACAACACATTTGTTGCAGCTCAAATTTCGGGCAATTGATAGCTGAAAATTGGCAACGTTGCAGCGCATTTGCCATATTACCATTCCGCTATTCCCAATTTGATTTCAGTTTTATTCAATATTCGAATTTTTTATCCAATTGTTTTGCCATTATCTTTTGGACGTTTTCGATGACTCTTTGGGCTGCTACAAGTGGGTAACTGAAGTGCGGCAACAGCGCCAAATACATAAAAACAAATAAAAGATACAAAAACAACAGCAACAACAGCACTCGCATTTTTTTTTTTTTCTATATATGAAATGAAAGTAGATAAAAGTTGAATGCATAAAATAAAGGATGAAGAAGAAGAAAAAGATAAAGCACTAACCTACAAGATAGGTGCACACATACATATATAGCTATATGTATATGTGAGCCTACTTAAATAGATGTCCCGCCCCTAGAACAGCAATCGATTTAAAGGAATATTATAATAATACATTTTTTAATGAAAGAGACTCGTGTTTTTTTCTTCGATTTTGTGCTTAAAGTACGGCCACATCTACATGGCGAGCGGGCACACTGAGAAAAATGATAACGAAGAAGAAAAGAATACTTAAGTTAGTTAAACGAAGAACTTAAGCGCGGCGAACAAAAGTTGAAAACACCAAATTTTAAATATATATATACATATATATAAAACCATATATATGTATGAAGGATGTAAAATTTTTATAGTAAAATTTATAATTATATTGAATAATGAGTATATATATACATATATATATATGTATCTCACTCTCTTTATATATATACACAAGTTGAAGAAAACGAAAAAAGGAATGAAATAAAATGTGAAATACATTTAAAAAATACCACATGAAATTGGAAAAAACCTAAAGAGATAATGAAAAAGAAAAAGGTATTCGATAAACGATAATCGATAGCAGCTACCCACTTAAATGTATGTATGTGTGTGTGTGTCAAGAAGCCGACAAGAAAGTACATTAAATAAAACATTAACCTACTCCACTCGATGTGCATAGAACTTAATGGATTTAATCACATTTAATACCAAATAGATAATACATATATACACATATATACACACTATATGTATATATATATATATACATAATAATATCCAACTCATTAGCCAGCGGCCAGATCGGTTCTGCGCCATTTTATTCAAGAAAGCAATATTAAAATGTGACTCGAGTTGGCTCTGGAAACAATGAAGAAGAAGAGAAAAGGCGAGAATTAAATCCACTGATAGCACTGCGAACTTAGCCCAGACATTTTGAAAATTTAGTTGAATGTAGGAGATATCTCGATATCTTTGTAATGAAAAGGAGGAGAGTCCTCAATTTCTGTATTGATTTTTAAATATCTTCTCGTTTAGCTAGAGAATATATGATTTTCGAATCTTTCTTTTCGAATACGTTATCGGATAGAAAGCAAAGAACTTAAGATGAACTTCCAACATTTTACGTATTCTGAACGGCCTTTCGCTGGGTATGTGCGCAGCTGTACAAAGCAACTCGGTCACAGGAATTACAGTGTACACACATAAGTGTACGCTATACAATTACCTAAATATATAGCTAAAGGATAGTAGTACATTTTAAAGAGGATGATGAGGCCAAGCAGCGAACGATGATTGGATGGAAGGGAATACAGAGACACACACACGCGCACACGTAAAGCACAAATATACACTGAGGGAAAAAAGAGCGAGGTTGAAGACAACAATGAAAATCATAAACTAAGCATGAAATGCATTTACAACTAATTTCAACAAATATAAATATATACATATATGTTTACTCAAAAGTTCGGAAAAGCAACTAAAGAACTTCCAACATTTGAACATTTTGAAACACTGAAACGCACATACATACACACACACGCATACAAAGAAAACTTAAAGGAAAACTCAACTATGATAGATCGAATACCGTTGTGCAATATGATAATGATAATGATAACGCTAACAGTCGATTGACGATAGTCGCTTATCGATAGTTATGTACGATAACTGAATTTAGTTGATAAGCACTTAGGCAAAATACTAACAGAAGCCAAAAGCCGATGCCAAGGCATAGGGTCTTAACACGGTCTAGGCTAAAAGGCGAATGCTATGCCATGTCATTTCATGAGAATCGCATAGACAGGCGCACACTGGTGCCGCTAGCGAAAATGATCGACTCTAAATTTAAGCAGTGATTACAACTATATATGTACTTAGAATCGTTTAAAGAACAACATTCGATTTTTTTTTTAAGAAGAAGAAAACTTTAGTACAGAGAATATCCGATAAAAAAAAAACATGAGAAGATAAATCATATATACGTAGCCGCTTTGTCAACGGAACGCGCCCAAAAAACACAAAAACAAAAACCAAAGAACAACTCCAAGAAAATCAGAATAAAAAAATATATTAAATAAATATATTTATATTAAGAAAATATATTATATGAGACACAGATACAGACACACACACACACTCCTATCTATTTGATTATGTATGCTATTTATTGATTGTCTATGAAGATATGTATATGTATTACTTTGTACGCACTCAGACTTGTACTTAAATATTTATTGGATTGTATTAACACACTTAGTTTAAACACATCTTAATCCAAAACAAAAACCAAAAGCAAAAAAAAAAAAAAAAGAAAAAAACAAAAAAAAATTACCAAATATCTATATAAATTTATATTTATATTCTAGTTACATTTATATTCATATACCTCTCACACATATGATTCCATAATTTGTTTCCCTGCTTTTCAAATCCAAGCAAACCGAATCGAATATCAATCCAGTCTGAGCTCTATATATTGATGATATATGTAGATGTCTTGGAGAGTGTGTGGGAGTAATATCTTAGATCTCTTCTCATTTTTGTTTTTCCTTTTGGTGTATGAAGAGGCAGTGGATGAAAGTGTTGCAAATTTAGATGAAATTGGATATATCGATAAAAGTGCTATCGATATGTCGAATTAGCATATAAACTACATACACGTACACATTTAGATGCATATATGATTATGATATATAACAAAACAACAAGAAACAAACTTATTAACAGAATTTAATCTATAAATCGTACATACTTATAATTGATATGGATGTATGTATAATATTATATTTAATTGTAATTATAATTATAATTATATAATTATAATTATTATTGTATTTGTATTTTATTGTATTGCCATGTATTAGTTTTGTTCTACACTCTTTTGCTCTTTCATAAATAAAAGAAAAATCAACAACAAAAAAATCTAAAAAAAAAAACAAACATACAAATTTTTAACGAAATCGAACAGATAACGAAATTAAGAGAAAACCCAAACATAAAAACAAAAACAAACAAACACAAAAATAAAAACAACGTGAATTTAAATGAAAAAGAGATTTTGAAATTCTAGTTTTACTCAACTTGGAGCGATTTCATAGAGAACAAGCACCCCAAACTCTATGTCTCTTTTACTTTTGTTTTTGTTTGTCTGCCTCAGTCTCAATCGAAGTTTACTCTGTTCCTCTCTCTACATACACTTTATGCATCCATCTTATATGCGTTTCCTTGATGTTAATCAAGCTATCTGTACTTCTCTCTTCTTCCTTAATATCCCTCTCTTTTTGTCACTCTTTTTCGGTCTACATATCCTTCTTATTGAAGCTATTGTTTTCTATCCCTTTCATTCATTCTATCTCTTCAATCTTTTCGTGTTCGTGTCTTCTTATCTCTCTCTTTTGCTGCCTCTGTCCATATCCTTCCTATCCTTATTAAGTCCAATTCGTCTCTCGCGTACTTTCGTTTCTTTATTTCTCTCTCAATCTCTTTCCTTTTCGTTTCTTTCCCCTAGTTATTAGCTCTGATTATATGTACGTTTTTATGCCAAAGTAGCGTGTGAGTATTTTTTTTTTATCCTCTTCTATACATATCTCTACATTTTTTCTTATTTTATATATATTTCATCTCTCTCTCTCTATCTCTATATCTCTTTATGCATTCTTCGCTGTTATCTTTCTATTTCTGTGTATTTATTTCTCTCTTGCTTTTGAGCTACGTCTCTTACACACTCTTTTTCCCCCTCTCTCTCTCTCCCTCCCTCCCTCTTTCTCTCTCTTTCTATGTATACATCATATACTTGAAGTCGCTCTTCGATACAATGTTCTGTAATGCACAAGAAAAACTCTTTATATATGCCATTAACATGATTTATTTCCACTAAATACTGTTTAAAATTTGTTGCTTGATTGGTTACATAGGTGAGTACTACAATAATTATGTATATATGTATAGATATAGGTATCTATACATATGTATATATCTTTACATAGATAAATATATTGATGCATTTATAAATGTATATAGATATATATATTTGCATATTTCAAATATCGTTTCGATTTTCTTTTTCAATAGGATTACTTTGCTGATATTTTAATATGCTAGATACTACGTAATATTCGATTACATATATAGATATATATATAAATAGTTATTTTATATGAATATATTCATGTATGTCAATTCTGTTTCTTTATAGAAATATATATAGTTTCCACATTCTGTTGGCACAAACATGTTTTTCTTAGGTACATGGAGTACGTATGCTATTTCTTTCCCAGGTCCTAATGAAGTTTTCTTAAAAAAAAAAAAAAAAAAACTCTATAACTATGATTATAATATATCGATAATGAGAATAGACATGTGATAGACAACGGGAATACAAACAAACAACAACAAAATCGTTGACGTTTCTATATTGATATGGCTACAAAAATACCAGAGTTGTACCAGCTCTGTAAGGTGGTAATACTCTTCATATAAGGTAGCTAGGTATGCATAGATCTGCTGTAATTCCAGCTCTATAAGGTAGTTCTGTACGCATCAATCTACTCCGGTTCTGGATCCAGCTGGGCATGTGTTTATCTAAGCGGATTCGAGCTGGACTTTGTTTAGAAACGCAATTGGGCCATTTCGAGGGTTTGCATGGTGTAGAGCTGTCTTTGATTAGACGCCCAGTTCACGACTGGGCGTGGTGGTAGCCAATTGTCCAGTATTACTCCCAGCCGGTGGCGGTGCAATCAGGTTCGGCATCCACTTGTTCAACATTGTGCGTATGGCGAAGGTCACATCATGATTGGCGAAGCAGAAGAGAAACGAGACCACAAAGCCCTGCAGGCTGACCAGCACCACGGACAGCAGCTGATAGAAGCGATCCAGCTGGGTGCCAGCTTCCGGCCTATAGGGCAGCAGGAAGTGCTGCAGCCCGAAGAGTGGCACCAAAATAATCGTCGCTCGCACCGCCTTGCGTATGGCCAGTGGTGCTGGCTGTGCGGATTGTGGATGCAATTTGCGCACAATCACGCGCAACACATTGATCAGAAAGACTGCAAGATATGATCAGCTATAAGGTATGCCTATATACGATACGATACTCGCGCAATACTCACTGAAACTAGCCAGCAGCGAGAGGGTGATGGGCACCGAGAAGATCCACAGGTAGAGACTGTCATTAATCCAGCAACTGTGATGAGAATTTATATAGTCAGTATATTTATATAAAATGGCAAATTATATGTAATACTATCTAAAGATATTCCCAAAAAATAAGATAAGTCTTCGCAACACCCTCTCGTCAGGGTATGTGCTAGTCGACCACTACCGACAGCACCACCTCCCACTAGTTACTCACTGTTCATTATCGTTGACACTTAAATGTCTGGCAACGCCATAGGGTAGCACGAAGACCAACGGAGAGAGCCAGCTAAGCAGCTTGAACCAGCGCATGACAATCGTGTCCTTAACAAAGACCTGGAAGATGATGGGAATTAATATGAGCTGTGATTGGGCGAAGCCTGAATGCTCTTCCATTATTTATGTTAGTCTGTTGCAGAGTATCTTTAGCTCATGCATAGATGAACAGAAAATTCGATGTTCTTCAATATATATATATATATATATATATATATATATATATATATATATATATATATATATATATATATATTTATGTATATATATAATATTTATATTATCACTTTACTCTATGATTTATCCACTTTAATTTTACCCTTCAGTATATACCCTTGAATGCATAATTTTTATACCCTGAACCCATTGAAAATGGGAAATCAGGGTATAATGGTTTTGTGAAAAGTATGTAACAGGCAGAAGGAATCATCGCAGACCCCATAAAGTATATATATTCTTGATCAGGACGACGAGCTGAGTCGATATAGCCCTGTCCGTCTGTCCGTCCGTCCGTCCGTCCGTATGAGCAAAAGGATCTCAGAAGTTACAAGAGCTAGAGAGCTGAAATTTGGCATGCATATTCGTGTTTACCATAGGCAGTACGAGTTTGCTTTATTTTTTCGATAACTCATCCGATAACTTTTTTATCGAGAATAATCGAAAAATCGACTTGGTTTTTTCAGCCTAGTTTGAACACATTTAAACCTGGAGATTTCAAATTTGCGTTGTATATAGAGTTAATGGATACAAAGATTTTGTAATTTACAGATTTCGGATACCACGCCCCCTTTGCCCCCAATTTTAAAAAACGCATTTCAAGTACTAGAGACTTGTGCTTTGGAATGTACACACATTTTATCCATATGATTACCCTCTGAAAGTTTCATTAAGATCGTATGTCTACAAAAGAAATTATTCAACAAATAAATTCTCATTATATTGCCCACACTGCAGCGCAGCCCAAGCGCAGCCGCTGCTTACTGCGCAGCTAGCAGAGCGCGTGCTTATAAGTGCATGTGTATGTATGTGTGCATAAAAGAAGTCCAGAATGATTAGAATATCAGCTTGGAGGAGGGCTCAGGGTATCTCCTAGTCGAGCAGTCTCGACTGAAGCCTTCTTACTTGTTAATGAATCCATAGTATACACCCTATAATGTATTCACTTTTCTGTATACCCTTTAATGTGTATCATTTAATGTGTATCCAATACCCTATATCTTTAAAGTCTATACATTACAATGTATATACTCATATTTCTACTCATTAATGTACACATACCCTGTGAACTAAACTCCGTGAGATGTATGTGTCTACTTGAATGTAGATATTATAGTGTGTAATGTCCTGAATATACTATACTATATATAATATATATTCTATACCGTATTTCCAATCAAATATATCCTGTAATGTACATCCCTTGGTCTATACCCTATAATTACTAATTTTCTATGTTAACAAAGAATTTTCAAATTGGTTCGACAGCACCATAATGCCCTACACTAGCAGGGTACACACATATATACACATATATACAACGGCTGGATGGCCTTATGACATTTAGAATTTTCAATTTAATGAAGATGTTGCAACAGTTGCAGCGACAACGATGGCGTCGAAGAAGAAGAAGAAGATAGGAAGAAGTAGAGGAAGAAAATACTTAAAATGCTTTCACATAAATTAAGGCAGCTGGAAATCTCATCAAGAATTCTTGGAAAACCTATGCAAAGTCGTACAGCAATTAAAGCAATTTGCATTTGAATGGACGTCGCAAAGGCGAGGAAGCGTGCATCTTCCCGGGCCACGCACACATACCACAACGAGTACCAAGTGCAGATGCAAACCCTCGCAGAACATCCAGAAGTAGTTGACCAGCATGAAGTAGTGCACCACCAAGTGCAGAGCGATGCACCAGGGCTGCAATAGGCAAAGGAGAGTTCAATTCGTCTGTTCAACACGTGTGATCAGCCTATGGAGCTTACGGGATTCTCGGCTATTTGGTCGGTTTGCTCGACGACCAGTCGATACCAGAGTATCCAGGCGATGCAGGTGCAGGCGAGTGAGCCAAAGAGATGCACGTGTATCCTGATCCGGGTGCAGCGCAAGGATCTGTGAGATAGAGCATCAGCATCAGCATCGTACGCTAGCCTGGCTAATTGCCCAGCTCGTACGTACTTGAAGCCGAGAAATATAACAATCGATATTATCAGAGCCAATAGCGATAGTGCATAGCCCTTCACATATAGCTCATTCACGAATTGTCGGAACTGCAAACTCAAAGACTGTTAAAACTAGCCGAGTATGTACATATTCCTCAAGGAACTTACCTGGAAATCATCGTAGTCCACACAATTGGTATAGTTTGACCAGGTCTGATTGCTTACTGGATGCCGATACCAGGTGCCATTCTCCAAACAGCTAAACGCACATTCAGTTGGTCATATATGGTGAAGATATATTCATATATGTTTATATAGCTATTATTATTATTATGTCGACAAATATTCTAGTGCTCAAGCAAAAGAACTATTTCTTTCCATTTGAAACAGCTCAACGTGGACTATCATAAATCATAATTTTAACTCTTCCTATAAATATGCTCATAGAAGCTGGATTGATTGTGAACTTGCTCATTTGAATTAGTGAAACTGGAACTAGCTCTATGAACTCGCTCATTTGAACTAGTTCTTCTTCTATCTTCTGATATTACAACAGTGAATATATATTATTTCAGAAGCTTATATTTGGGACAATTGGAGATATGATGTATTAATATTTCCATAGTGAGCTAGTTCATTGGAATGGGTTCTTTTGAGTCAACACGAATCTTATAAATTTGTTTTCATATAAGAGCTAAAGCGAATGTCTTTGATTAAATATAAATATTCTTACAAAATTCCCGGTAAATTCGCAACTGTGACTTACGATTGAGAAAAAGGATCGAAAGTTCTGTATTTATTTTAGAGCCATCGTTCATAAATTGAATTCCGAATAATTTCAGCATCGCAATCCATAAAATTTGCAATATATTCATGTGTATGTAAACAACAAGTATGAGCTAATGGACATCCGTTGTTGCATTTGGAATGTATTATGATTCAAATTGAGATGTTTATGAGTGACGCTCAAGAGTATATATATGTATATATAAATATGTGCTGTTAGGTTTGATTTGCTGGCAAGGTTAATATCGCATTGAACTCACGTTTTGTGTGCCAGAAACTTGCTGCTGAAACCCTCGACAAAGTCCGGACAGTATTGACTCAATACGGTGCCAGCTGGCGTGCGCGGCCAGCAGAGATAGCCATCAAAATTCACGGGACAATAGAGAGTCTCCATTTCACTGGTTGCATTACGTGAATGTTGATTTGTTTCCATTGTCATCGAGTGAATCGTCGCATAGAGCTCGTTCTCGCTGGCCGCTTCCTCGTCCACATCCTGCATATCAATGGTGCCCTCGTTGAGCACCGCCTGCTCCAAGTACCGCGGCACCGTTGTGAACGTTGCCAGCATCAGCTCCTCATCGCCGGAGTCTATCATAGACATACATGTATATATGTATATATATGTGTATGCATGTGTTTGTATATCTATTTGCTTGAAATGGTCAAATGTGAATTGGGCTTGGGCAAATAGCTGAGAGTCTCCAGACCTAAGAGTGTCTGCTTGATTGTAGATTGAAGTCGGCATGAACTAGAGTACGAAACTGCGAAGTGTTGAATTGTACCTAAGTGAGAGTGTACCTAACTGAAAGGGTGCCCAAGTGAGAGTGTACCCAAGTGTAACTTTGCTTTAGTAGCTAAATGTGATTGAATTTATCCACACATATGTACATAAGTATATAGGTACGGTATATATAGGTATTTGAGAAGAACTGAACTAATACTGTATATGTGTAGGGTACAATCTCACATTGTTCAAAATCCATTTATGGTGCAAGTAGGCTTAATGTACCTACTTTTTTTTGGTACACTCACTCACATTTCTCAGTAAGAATTTTCCGTACATTGCGTAGCTGAGGAAAATTGTTACTGAGAGTTAAACTATAGTGTACCAAAAAGTAGGTACATTTAAGCCTACTTGTGCCATAGATGGATTTTTAACAATGTGAGACTGTACCTAAGTAAAACTCCATCAAAGTTCATACCTACTTCTATGTGTTATCGAATTAGATTGTACTTGAGTGTGAGATTGTATGTTTTAAGTAGTAAATGTATTATTTAATGTATCCTTTAAACTCTTGCTGATATCCTGCACAGTGTGACTATGCCTTAAATAAAACTAAAAGTCCTTGTGAAGGCCCATTCGACTGTCTCTCCTTTAGGTTTTACCCACATTCATGTAATGCTTTCTTTTTAATTTGTAGCAAATGCTTTCGGTGTGATCGTGTTGGGGGACAATGAATGTGGAATGTGAAATGCGCTGAGCTGCTACAGCAGCTGGGAATTACCTTTGGCATCGCCCTTCGCTGTATCATTCTGATAGCGATAAACGCACTCGACGTACAAATGGCGCAGGAATATGCGTAGATTATCCTGCGGCTGCGGCCGTGGCTGTGGCTTCGTCAACGAGGCCGTCATCGCTGTCTCAATGTACGCAGCCGTTGTCATAGCCAGCGCTGTGATAGAGACAAATATGAGATGGGCTCCGTAAATTGCCTCTTTGACAAATGTGTGTGCCTGGATGACTCTTATGCCTCGCAAGTCAAAGGCTTATACAATATACATATGTGGATGTGTTATATGTTTGCAGGAGTGTGTGTATATTTAATAGAATTGTGTTTTTATACCCTGAACCCATTTTCAATGGGAAATCAGGGTATAATGGTTTTGTTGAAATGTATGTAACAGGGAGAAGGAGGCGTGGCAGACCCCACAAAGTATATATATTCTTGATCAGGGTGACGAGCTGAGTTGATTTGGCCCTGTCCGTCTGTCTGTCCGTCTGTCCGTCTGTCCGTATGTATGAACGCGTCGATTTCAGAAGATATAAGAGCTAGAGACTTCAAATTTTTTTTAAAATGTCCGTAATTACAGCGCGCATATCAAGTTTATCATTAAAAATCGATAACTCCTCTCGATCTTTTTTTATCGATAAAAAACCTTATCGAAACCCAGTTATAAAATTATATCTTCTACACCTTTATTGCTAGAGTCTCCAAATTTTTAATGTATGCTTATATGCAATTTATACAATTTCGGTTTTTGTTAAAATTTACCCCCACCTCTAAATTCACCCCCTCACCCTCACTTTTGTAAAAAGCGTATTTCAAACACTAGAGACTTGTGCTTTGGCAATTACATGCATATTCATGTTATAATCATAATCTAAAAGTTTCATGAAGATCGTACGTCCATAAAAAAAGTTATTAAACAATTAAGTTCTCATAGTAAGCGCACACTGCAGCCCATGCGTGTTTATGCGTGGTTGCTTGTATGTGTATGTGTGTGTGTATGTGTGTGTGTGTTTGGGTTTGTGTCTGTTTGCGTGTGTGTGTGTATGTGTGTCTGTATGCGTGTGTGTGTATGTATACCTGTGTGTGCGTACGTGCGTGTGTGTGTGTGTGTGTGTGCGTGTTTTTTGTGTAAGCTGAAAGTCGCGAAAAAGTATTGAAATATCTATTGCTCCAAGGGTTCAGGGGATCTCGTAGTCGAGCAGTCTCGACTAGAGCTTTCTTACTTGTTTAATTAAGCTTTGTGTGAGATTTTAATCTTGAAATTAAAATCTTTGTAAAACTTTAAATGTGTGATGCAAGAGTATAGGCGGTAGAGTACTACAGGGAAGTCAAATAAGTATATGGTTACATATGCTCGAGGGCTTTTCAAAGTAAACTTCTTGGGCTCTGTACTCCCTGAGGTCAGCTAGAAATGAAGCAAAGATGTAGCTGGTGCTGCTGGCTGAGGGGGTCATTTGATTGCAGATGCTAGCTGAATGAAATGCCGGTATTTACAATGGGGCATTTACGGATCCGTACATAAGAAAGGTAGATTTGAGAGCCAGAATCACTATAACAAAGTCTAAAATGGTTTCATATGGTAGGAAGTATATACATATGTATATACAGTGGAGTCCGGCTATAACGAAACTCAAGGGGCCATCGTTTTACCCGGAAGGCGCTATAACCGTATAAATTTGCTAATAAAACTTTGCCTGGCGACCAGAATTTTCGTCGCAATAACCGTACGGGCGCTATAAGCGGAGTCGTTATAGCCGGATTCTACTGTATGTATATAGAGCATATAGTGACCAAACTAAAGTCATACTATATCCGATTTCCATTCCTTAACAGCTATAAAAGTTCTTGATAATCGAACAACTCTTGAATTGTTTAATAAGATGTGTCACTTGATTATGAAGAGACTTATATTTCTCACACGAAATTGAGTCTTAGATGTGAAGTCAACAATAAGTCATGCCTGAATATAAAACTGAGACATTCCGGACTAGATCTTAGACTTTGGTTACATATAGCAAAATTGAGAAGTTTCTTTGCATGATGTAATATGTCATATTGAATGGCTTTCAAATAAGACTAAAAGCCATGTAACATATCCCATGTGTGGTAGCCCTACTGCTGTTTCCCTACAATATGTTAAGTAATATGCGTATAAACTGTTTTTACGCTTTACCAACACTGCTTCATAAGAAAACTAAGCATGCAACCTGAAAATGTTATGCATGTTATGCTAATAGCATGTTAATCTATATGTAAATGCTTAAAATCATAATAACAAAACCTGGAACATGCATATGTACATATATATATATTGCTGTGTGTGTAGCTTAACGTTAGCCAACACTGTCAAAGCCGGTAGCTTGTTTGCTTACGTTAGAAGCTGCAATAAAATTAAAATGTCAACTCCTTTCAGGCGTAAAGAGCAGCCCACACACACTGAGAGAGAGAGAGAGAGAGAGAGAGAGAGAGTGGGCAGTGGGGAGTAAGAGAGAGAGAGGGAGTGAGAGATAGAGTGATAGGGGGAAGGAGACAGACAGTTTTGCTGTGGCACAAAGCGCTTTGTTTGCAATCTATGTGACTCTGCGGATGACCTGTCGACACATGTGTGTGTGCTGCTGCTGCTGCTGCGTGTGGTGTTCCTTGTAGCCTTTCCTGTGTGCTGTGTCTCTGTGCCTGCCTGTGGCCTGTTGCCCGAGTCCTGCTCATCTGCATATGGTGCGACTGCTGCGAACGCGCTTCAATAAATCACTTTATTGTCTAATTAATGAGCGTGCATTTCAGCGCTTCGCCATTGGGGCAGCATGTAATTAAATTTCTGCTCAGCAAAACCGATCGATGCAGAGCGTGAGCGAGCGCGAGAGGGACAGAGAGACAGTGAGAGAGTGAGTGAGCGAAGAGAGTGGCTGATGACACACATGCTTGAGCTTGAGTGAGCCCATTGCAAAGTTTCTTGAATAACTTTGTTATGTTTTTAATCAAAACTCATTCCACATGATTGAGTTTGCACACTAACAAATGTATACAGAGAGAGAGAGAGAGAGAGAGAGATAGAGAGGGAGCTGCACACTAGTTCACTCTTCAATTTGGTTAATGCATTGCAGCGGGCCAAAACCCCAACAACTAAAATCCTTAAAGTCACGGCCAACACGGCGTATGCTTCACATGCATACATATATATACATATGTATATTTCTGCTATTTTGCCAAGCACTTGAAATAATACCACAAAGAGCTAAACTTAAAAATAACAGCCAGAGGTGCTGGCAGCACCTACCCACGCTGACTGACTGCCAAATACCCTACACAAACCGTAGCTAAACGGAAGGCTAAAAAATTGAAATCTTTGTTTGCCAAAAATCATATCTCTCAGTTAGCCTAGAGTGTTAGTTATATTAAAGGCCCATATTCATCGGTCTCTCTATAGTCTATTTGGTAACTCTATACGAGTTTAGGGTATCTATGTGCTTGTTAAAGCTGCAGCTGACACCAGGCTATAAATACATTTATATATATCTATAAAGGCTAACAAGAATTATCAAATATAAAGCTCTAGTCCAAGTGAATATACAATTCTAACCCAAGGGAATCACCTCAATTGTCACTTAAGCTGCATGCGAAATGAATGAAGCTAAAATGAAGCTGTACCCAAGGCTAATGAAAGTAGTTGCTGATAATGCTGCACTTCATACAGTCATATTCAGTCCACTAGAGATTTACAAAGCTCTACAATCATTCAACCTCACTTTTGAATAATAGAAAATATGTCTTCTCTTTTTTCTTTAATTTTCGTTTGTTATTTTCCACTTCTTTTTTTTCTTTACTTCAGTTTTTCCTTTTTTTCCATATTACATCTTATTCTGCTCTTCTTTTTTTCCACTCGCATTTTCCCTTTATTTCATTTCTTTTGATTCCTTCTATTTTGTTGCCTACGTTTCTCCTTTCTTCATTTTTTCTTCTCTTTTCTATTTTCTTTCATATTTTTATATCTCTGAATTTTTCTTCTCTTTTCTTCTACTTCCTCCTCTTTTCCTCTCTTCTTCCCTCTTTTCATCTATTTTCTTTCTTTTCCTATATTCTTCTCTTTTTGATTACTAATTATTTTTTCATTATCTGCTGATCTTTCCTCTCTTATCTTCGATTATCCACTTCTTCTTATCTTTTCTTTATGCTCTATGCTTTCCTCATTTATCTAAGGGATCTTGACCATCAACAGAATTACATGACATTCGATTTAGCAACCTTTAAGATATGTCCGAGTCGCATAAGCTAAGCTAGAATATAATTTGCATGCGCATATCCTGCCATGGTTACTTTGCTTTGACTTCAAAGTAACTCTTTACACAATCCTCCCCCATGGTCACTGAGAACTCATGCAAGGCATAAAATGTCATCTGCATTGGTCCGCCATAGCTGTGCATAGTCACTTTGTCTGAAAGCCAACTGGTTCTAGCCGTATAATTGAGTTATGAGACTTTTTGTTGCTTTTGTGTTATTTCCTTTGTTGCAGACGTTGATGATGTTGTAGTAGTAGTTGTTGTTTTTGTAGTTGTAGATGTTGCTGTTGCTGTTGCTATAGCAATTAGCTGTACCATCAGTTGGAATGCCAGTTTAGCTAGCTGTCAGGGCGCGGCTGCCTGCTTCACTTCATCTTCTTTCATTATATCCTTGTGCAATTAAGGCTGTATTGCGCATACGCCACGTGCAACAGGCAGCCATAAAGCCAGCATACACAGACAGAGGAAGAGATAGAGCGAGTGCGAGAGAGATGGCGTCTGATACCCAGCTACATGCACGTATAGAAATCTCGATTTATAATTACGTACTCTCCTGCCCAGGAGCTTACACAAAGTCTCGACACGATACAAGTGAATGGGATTAGATGCGAAATAGATTTCATAAATTTTATCATTTAGAAAGGAACGAAGGAATGAACGTGGAGGTGGAAGAAGAAGTTGAATCGGTTCCTTGAAAAGCTGGCAGCGATACAAGCAATTTTCTTCTGACTAGGAAATAACAATAATTTTATATAATTATGTAATATCCGAATAGAAGGCGTAAGTAGTAGCGTAAACAGAGTGGGTATTTTGAATCCGAACAGTACAACGACTGGGTAGTAATTATTCAATCCGAAATTTCTAGCACTCTCAGTATTAAAATCAAAT